TTCTTTAACAATTTTGTTGAGCCATATGGCTTCTTTAGTAGCTGCAGAAAGAGCCATATATTCGGCTTCTGTTGTACTAGTTGCAATGGTTGGTTGACGCTTACTACACCATGACACTGCACCACCTCCGATGAGGAAAACATATCCAGTGGTTGATCGTCGATCCCCAGCATCACCTCCATAGTTTGAGTCGCTGTAACCAAGGACATCAGCACTATAGTCCTTTGAAAAAGACAATGTAGCATCTGTAGTGGCTCGAAGATACCGCATGATGCGCTTGACAGCATTCCAGTGAACCCTTGCCGGATTATTGGAGAACTGGCTAAGGAAATTCACAGCATAAGTTATATCTGGCCGTGTTGCTTGAGCTGCATAAAGAAGACTCCCAATGGCAGCCTGATAAGGAACAGGTAGCTTTTGTTCCTTACTAGTTGGTATCTGCAGTTTAGATAACACTTGATTTTGGTCTAATGGTGTTTTTACACCATGAGATTCATGCATATTATATTTGCAAAGCATACTCTCTACATACTGAGTTTGACTAAGGCTAATGGACCCTTTAGTTCTATCTCGTTCAATTTTAATTCCTAAGCAATAATTTGCTGGTCCCAAGTCTTTCATTTCAAATTTTTCTTTAAGTTGTTGTTTTACCCAATTTTTAAGTTCTATGTTATTACTAAAAATGAGTAAGTCATCAACATAAATAGTAACAAGATCTTTATTTTCATTTATTTTAATATAGACACAACTATCAAAAGAACTTTGCCTCAGTCCCATTTCTATTAAACCCTTTTCTAACAGTTGGTATCATAGTCTAACCACTCTGCTTTAAACCATCTAATGCTTTGTTTAATTTTAGGACCTTTCCCTTTAAGTTTTGCTTGTAAAATTCACTGAAACCGTCTGGAATTTTCATATAAATGTCTTCATTTAGAGTTCCCTGTACAAAAGCCATTACAGCATCCATTTGGTCAATTTCCCAATCATATATAGCTGCATAAGCTAATAAAACTCTTAATGTTACGTATCAGACAACTGGTGCAAATGTTTCAGTATAATCTATTCCCTCAATCTGAGAATAGCCCTTAGCAATTAAACATGTTTTATATCTTTCAATCTTGCCTACTGAATTACATTTAATTTTGAAAACCCATTTACAATCTACAATGTTCTTATCATAAGGTTTATCTATTACTTCCCATGTTTTGTTTTTAATATGGCCTAATATAGTCTCCCATATAGAATCCTTCCAATGGTTTGCATCATTGCCCCTTAATGCTTCATCAATGGTTTTCGGTTCAGAATACACACCATTTGTTGCTGCTGCCATAGCTTTAACAAAGCACATTCGATCTAAATTTGGCATTGGCATTTCTGGCATCCCGTGTGTGTCATAGTCCGTATAACTATTTGGGAATCTAAGTTTTCTGTTTCTAGTCAATGTAGGTAGCTCATCAACTACACTACTGTTATCATGGCTATCATTTTGAGCAGTATTATGTTCATCGTGATGAGATTTAATACTAGTACTAACTAATTCATGATCAGACTGAGTATTATCATTAACCATCCCTTCCAATTCACCGTTCTGATCATCAGCTGTTGCATTCTCAGTATCTGAAAATGTCGTAATCACGCTCCCACTGAATGAGGATTCATCATAGAATTTTGGCATATTACTTGCCTTTTTGTAGTACATTTCATTTTCCAAAAATTGTACATCTCGTGCATTTATTATTTCATAAGTTTTGGGATCTATTAATCGATAGCCTTTTCTATCCTGACAGTACCCAACAAGCATTAATTCCTTTGCTTTTATATCCCACTTTTTACGTTTTTGTTTTGGAATGTGAGCAAATGCACGACATCCAAATACTCTCAAGTATTCTAAATTTGGCTTATCCCCATACCATTTTTCATAAGGGGTCATACCTGCAACTGCAATAGTTGGAGATATATTTTTACAGTGATTTGCAGTTTTGCACTGCTTCAGCCCAATAATTTTGATCAAGGTGAGCATCCACCAACATTGATCGTGCTCGCTCTACAAGAGTTCTGTTACTACGTTCAGCTACACCCATTTGCTCTGGTGTAAATGGAATAGATTTTTGATGCTGAATTCCATTTGATGCTAAATAGTTATCCATCTCATTGTTTACATACTCAGTAGTACCATTATCTGAGTGTAAGATTTTGATTGATTTGCCAGTTTGCCTTTCAACAAATGCTTGAAATATTTTGATTTTTTTCAAAAACTTCAGATTTATTTTTCAAAAAATAAACAAAAGTCATTCGCGACAAATCATCAATAAAACTAATAAAGTAGCAAGAACCACCAATTGATGTAACATTCATAGGCCCACACAGGTCACTGTGTACTATGCCTAATAACTCTTTTGCACGCTTAGCTTTTCCCTTGGGAAATGGTTGTCTATGCATTTTGCCTTTAATGCATGACATACAATTTAACAATGTAAAACCTTCGACCATATCTTTTAATCTGGTCATTCCTCCTTCACTTAAATGGCCCACTCTTTTGTGTAATAATTCATTTGAAATATTTTTATCAGTAATTAAAGCCCACTCATTACATAAATCAAGAGAATACAAATTATCTCCCATACCTGTTCCAGTAGCAACTAAATGTTTACCATCATACACAAAACATCTTTCACTTGTAAAAGTACTAACCATTCCAAATACTTTATTTAAATACTTAATGGACAGCAAATTGGCTGTTAACTTCGGAACGTGTAAAACATTACTAAAAGTTACAGACTCCCTTTTTTTATTTCTAGATAAGAGGAAAGTTATTTTACCCTTACCCTCTACTTCTATTACTGAACTTCCTGTTTTTATTTGATGAATACTAGCATCCTGATAATCATCTAATAATTCTTTATGTGGAGTCATGTGGTAAGAAGCACAAGAATCCATGTACCAATATTGGGATGTGGATTAGAATTAGCTACACTAATTTCCACTACATAAGCTTCTTCCCCTTTTTTATGTTTTAATCCAACATTAGACTTTTTGTTAAACTTGTTTTCATTATATCTATCCCTTTTTGAGAGGTGACTTCTGACAATCGGAGCTTTTGTGGCCAAACAAATTGCATTTAAAACATTTTCCTTTAAAGTACCTTTTGCCTCCGAATATTTTTATTAACAAATGCGTATTCCTTACTTCATTGACTAGGGGTTTTGAATCTTCAGCTAACAAGCGATTTTTAACATTGTCAACTGTTATTGCCTCACCACAATTTTCAAAGCCATTATAAGAGGTTCAAACCTATCAGTAAATTAGCTAAAATTATTCCTGCAATTAATTCTTCATCAGGTTTAACACCAGTAGATTTTAATTGCTGATAAGCTGAAATGGCCCTATGTAAATAGTCAGACATATCCTTGCTCCTTGCAATCAGTATAACGGGTATTCACTAATGTTTTAATTATTGAAACCTTTCTTGTGATTCCCTTATCCTCATATGTTTCAGCTAATACTTTCCATAGCTTCCTTTCCACTTGTTAAATCTCTTATATCATTGAAAATAATTTCACTTACCCCTTCAACTATATATGACAAAGCTTTGGTATCCTTCACTGGATCTTCTTTTGTACCCTCTACATAAGCCCATAAATCTAATTTGAATAGATGCATTTTCATGGAAAATTTCCAATCCATGTAATTTTCCCTTCCACTCAATTGTTTGTGACTAAATGAACCTTCTCCCCCTGGCATTTTTCCTTTTTTAACTTTAATCAACAAGAGACAAAAAAATTATAATTTGAGATAAATTCAAATAAATTTTCTATTGAATTAATTTTATTCTCAAAGAAACATTTGCCTAAATAGTAACAGTAAAAATATTTGTACTAGTTAAGCTTTTGCAACCATGTGCTTTGGCTAACCCTAACATACCATGTGGTCAATTTCGGTTAAAGTATTTCTAAAAATTTACAAATAGAATTAAATAAACAAACTAAACTAGTCATTAGATTACTTATCCTCATTTCTTAATCTGGCCTGGGCCCATAACCTATTAGAAACTCAATATAGCAGAGAGTGGTTACTTGCATGCATGAGAATAAATAATACACAACATACCTGTTGGGAGTTTGGAACACAAGTGAAGTTTTATTGGAGTGCACAGTTATAGAAGAATAAAAAACAGTGGCGCCATCTTTGGGTCAAGAACATATTTAAAGCTAACCTTTTTTACAAACTTTCTAATTTCAACTACGTGTAATGTATGCTTTGTACATTTTATACATGTATAAAATATACAATGCATTTGGCAGTGATGATCTATTAAAAATAAGTAACTTCCTGCATGACACATTTACATTTGTGAGGATTTAACTTTAGATTGGCTTCTTTCAGTTTCTGAAGCATCTTTTTGCTTTGTCGTAGGATTACAGACAGAAATGTCCTGCCAGGTAGGTTTCCTATTTGAAGATTCCATTACGACAGTTATCGACTTAATGTTGGAATCTTCCAACTGGTTCTACCTGACTTCTCTATCACTCCATTGGTATGAATCAGATGATGTTGAAGACATAACTTGATGTGTGACGAATTAACCAGCTCGTGTTTCACTTCGATCCAGTAGCAATATTTACAGCTTTCTGGGCAGGGTCTTCTTGACAGTGCATTGGCATTTCCATGTGATGATCCTTTCCAATGACAGATAGTGATGTCATATTCCTGGAGTCTCAATATCCACTTGGCAGTTTAATCTTTGTGATTCTTTAAATTTAAGAGCTAGATGAATGATGCATGATCTGTTCAGAGCAGAAATTTTCTGCCATAGAGGTACTGATAGAAATATCCTATGGCTTTAACTATGGCAAGCAACTATTTCCTCATGACACAGTAATTCCTCTGTGGTATAACAATATTATCATTGCTTGCGTTCGTGTTGGAAATAAATGGTTTTTGAGCTGAGGTTACATCAGTATTGGAGCAAATGTTAAAGGCCTCCTTCAGTTTGTAAATGTATGATCACATCCTTTTGTCCACAAGGACTTTTGCTTGCTGTCCGTCAGGTTGTGAAGATATCTTGTGATGAAAGAAACGTCCTTCACAAATCTCCTATAGTATGTGCAAAGCCACATTAAGATTCTTAGATATGGACATTTTCGGGCGTCTTCAGTCTTTAACAGTTGACACTTTTTCGGTACACTTATCTTTGGCAGAGATGATATATCAAAGGTAAGTCACTTCCTATCTGAATAGTTTACATTTAGTGGGAATCAACTTTAGATTGGCTTTTTTCAGTTTCAGAAGGACCTTCCTATGATTTTATACATGTTCCTGAAAACTTTTCTGGATGTTGTCATTCCAGGTATATCAGACAGTCTTCATAGGAAAGTCTTTTCAACACCATCTCCATAAGGCATTTGAATGTTGCCGGTGTATTACATAGTCCAAACGGCATCACCTTGAACTGCCAAAGTCCTTGTCTGGTAGTGAAAGCTGTCTTTTCTTGGTCATCAGGGTGTATTTCTACCTGCCAATATCAACTCTTTAAATCAAGTGTCAAAAACCACTTGCTTCCAAAAAGAGTGTCCAGAATGTCATCAAAACTGGGAAGAGGGTAGCTATCTTTCTTTGTAAACGCCTTCAGCTGGCGATAGTCAGTTCAAAATCTAGTTGATTCATTCTTCTTTCTGACCAGGATGATGGGAGAGGCCCAAGAACTTGTTGAAGGCTCAATGACATTGCTTTCTTGCATGTCCTTTAGAAGTTTTCCTACCTCTTCCTGTTTAGAATCAGTAGACATCTAGTATATTGGATTGGTAGATGATCCATGGTATCATTTCTGTGCTGTGTCAAACTGGTTCGACCTACTTCAGAAAACAAGAGGTAGAAAACTTCTTGAATCACATATTCGGCAGCACCCCTCTCTTCGTCGTTTAGTTCTGCATTCTGCAATAATCCCAGTATTAGGCTATCCAAAGACACAGATATTTGCAGACTAGGGTTGCTTATTAAAGGTCACTGGAGTACATGCTGCAACCTCTTCGCCTTTCCTAATGATTCTCGCTTTATCGCTGACTTTGGCAACTCTCACCAGGATAACTGTCCTCAATAAGTAGACAAGGGCTGAGGCTACTAGTACTTCACACTGGGTATTACAGTTCTTGTGATACTCCATTACACCATACCAGCAATTTCTGCTTTTAACTCTGGATCCATGAAGTAAAAATTCTGTTTTCATTTTATTGTGATATTATCTTGAACTATGATTTAGTGGACAGATTTAACTCCTTCATTATTTAACTCCTTCAGCATTAATTCCTAATAGGGTTATGTCCTCAGAGGCAGAATGCAGTTAATTATTTTTAAAGTCCAAAGAAAAATTGTATTTCCATAGAAAGTCTAATCCGAGTTTGAAAGGATCTGTAATATTTGCTACATATGCCGTGTGATGGTAGGCGGCATTTCCAAACATGATATTGATGTTTAATTTTTCATTGATGGCATTTTTATCCCCGGACATATTCTGAAGTGTAAAGCAGGGCAGCGTCCAGATGAGTTTATCTTCTAATTGTTGAGCCAAATCTTTTTGGATGAAGTTAACATTGGCTCCTGTGTTGATGGTTGCATTGCAAGGAACTCCATCGATATGTCCCATGATGAAGAGTCTTTTACTGCTACCACTCATTGCAGAAATCTGAAGTGCTTTGAAATGAGGTACCTCATTATCTGTCAACCTCCACTGCATGGGAGATGGTCAATAATTAGTTTCCCTCTTTGTGGCTGGGATCAGTTTTAGCTTCTGTGCCTTGGGTTGTTTCTGCAGTTTCTTCATATGTGGCTTTCAGCACTGCAGTTTCAGTCTTTGAGGGTCGATTTCTTATCACTCCTGTTTTACGCTCTTAGGGACAAAATATCTTTGTCCAACATATCTTTGTCCAACATATATTTGAATATATGTCTAGAATATATGTTGGACAGCAGGCACCATTTACTTTTTCAAGGTGAATTTATAGTTTGATGGAGTTAACAGCTCTGATGTCTTCTTTAATGACCAGCTTCCATCTTTTTCTTGAACAGCTTTCGTCTGTATAATGGATGCTAGGCCAGCTTTCATCTCTTGTTTGAATGCACCAAAGGCTGTCATTAATTGCTCTTCCATTAATTAGCTCTCTTAAGTGTTGTGCTGCTCTTAATTTCAGGCTGCTGGAATCAATATAAATCTCAGATTAGGAAGCTGCTGGATGTAAACATTTCATCATAAATCAGTTGTGAATAGAAATTTAGTAAAAAAAGGGTGGATTCACTGGGAGATATGTCAAGCATCAAGCGAAAGGCATGACGAAAGAAATGAGCCAAAAAAAAAAAAAAAAATGCCTGGTATGGCTTTAACAGAATATTAATATATTTTCTTATGTATGTATAAAATGTACAATGCATGAAGATATTTTATGCTTTCATCAGTTCATGAAGTGTTTTGATGTTTCAGATAGAAAGCCCATATGTTCAAAACCTTATTGCTCTGGCCGCTGTTTTCCATGAACTGACTTCGTCAGATGTTGTAGCATACTTCTTATTCAGGAACTTTGTTTTATATCAAAGAAAATTTAGTATCAATATCAAATCTTTGGTAAGTCTATTTTCAATTTATTATGAAATAGCATAAAAATTAATTTAAAAAATACATTATCTTCTCATCTTCTAAATTTTTGCATTACACATTTTTATAAATCTGCATGTGTTGTTTTGATGTTTTATATATGAATAGACATGAATTTTGAGCTTTTGTATCTCTCAATAAAATCACAATTCTTTCAGATACATTTGGGAATGAAATATGTAAATTCTGTTCACCTTTATGAATTTTGAAGACCTGTTATATTTTGAATAATAACATAATTTTATTATTTATATTTTGGTTACAGTGAAGGTTTAATATTAGTTAAAATTATGTATAAAATATGTATGTAACTGTAGCGGGTATGTTTAAATTTAAATGCTTTAAAGCTGCAAGAGAAAGTTTTTACATTAAATCTAGCATCTTATAATTGTTAAGCTTATCTAGGAAGTAATGTCATTTTGGAATAATAGAAAATGCAGGAAATATTTAATGTTGTAATTACATAATCAGTATCATTATAAGTAGCAGTTTACCATTTTGGAACTAAACATGCAATATCTTTTTTATAAAAGGAAAGCAGTTTGAATGAAAAAAAAATCTATGAGATCTGTTTTGATTGATTAGTATTTTGAGAAGTGGTGTTCTGCGGAAAGTGCTCTAAAGATTGGAATAGATGATAATCTGTTGAAGCATGATCTGAAGCAGAAGTTCCCAACTGAAGGGGGGGATATTCCATAGAATTTCATAGTTTCGTGTGGGAGTACAATCAGCCTTTTATTTACACGTTGAGTATTTAGTTTTAGTTTATGAATATAAAAAACTTCATCAACATTCTCTATACTGTTTCTCGTATAATTTATGAAGTACATTGAAAAATCATCTAAGGGAGGGAAAAAACGATAATCTAGCAATGGTGAAAGGTATGCATGGGACAAAAAAGATTGAGAACCACAGCTCTAGAAAGTAAGAAGTGGGTAGAATTTCTCAATTTAATTCTCTAATCTTATGCAATTCGTGCAACATGTGGTTTTGTACCATTATAGAACAGGATTACACTTTTTTTATTTGTGAGCCAGGGTTAGATGTTTAACATGAAGAGCTTGATTCAGATGACTAAATGATTGATTACAGAGGTATGTAATGATAGTCTAACCTGGGTACTTATACCTCAAAGTAAACTCTGCTTGTATTATTCCACCAGACATGCAGTTAAATCATTTTGAGGTGGTTAAATATTACAATAACTTGGTTTAAGTATTACAGTTATTATCTGAATCAGTGAAAGCCATTGATTTTTTAACTTAATGTACATAATCTATTTCTGTCTAGTGACAGTTTGATCAGAAACAATCTTTTTCCTGCCTACTGAACAAGATGTAGGAATTTAGGGCTTTGTTCCCAGTTGGAAGTTGACGTGAATTTTGTGTCTGTAGTTCTTTTTGATTTGTTAAGTGATTGTTAAGTACGTGATAGACTTTGATGACTGCAGCTGGTTGAATAATTCAGTAATGTAATTTAACTTTTCAAGAGTTTAACCCTAAAACCTTAAATTTCTTAAAAAGGTCAATAATTAAGTGGTATTTTCTTGATTAGAATTATTTCAAAATGACTGTTCTACTTTGTACTTTGACTGTTTGTCTTCCAATATTTACACTAGTTTAATTGTCTGAACACATTTCAAAACGAATATCTTTATATTTGAATGCATATAAATGGCTTGACAGCTTGGAAGGTTTGAATTGGACAAAAAAATTGTAATTAAAAATTCAGCAATTATCTGATGGACATATCCTTCAATAGTTAGGTTCCAGCAGGTCATTATCTAGTCTCATTAGTCTTCCCAGATGATTATCATCCTTGAGGTTTAAATTTGTTGATGGAATTTGGAAAACCATTGCCAGTGTTTGAGGCTTTCATGATGATTGGCATGAGTCAGTTCTGCCAGTATCTGAGGAAAATTAATTTATTTTCGATATGTAGTACAAATGTTTCAAATAGCCATTGTTGCTTGTCACACTTATAAATTTCACAAAGCATGCTATGACAAAACATGTACGATGACTTTCCTTGAGCTTTTTGTTACCAGTCTTGATCAGAACATAAGAAAAAAAAATGAATGTGAAATTTTAAAACAAAAAATCTTATTTATCCATACATTCATTGACTTTGCGAGAGGACTGCTTAGTACAGCACTTTCGAAATTTCATCACGTAAAAGTGAAATGACTTTCTGGTCAACCTATAAAATGAATTTGTAAAGAGGTGTTATGGTATATAATTTTACTTTTGAGTATAGATTCCATAGAGCAAAGTTCTAAAAGAATTTATTTATTTATAAACGAAAATAAAACTAAGTATTTACCTTGCTTAAAGTCTGACTTATAATTTAGTCACTTAGAAATTGGCAATTAAAAATTTCAAAAAGTTAACTTTTTACTTATTTGGGAATGGAGATGAATAAATAAAAATGTGTTGGCCCCAGAAATATGTAAAAGAATCGTTGCTGCAAATAGATGTTTTTTTGTAGCCTGAAAAATTATTTAAAATCCAGCTTTTTTAAATTAAGAACTAATTTGCTTCTTTACAAAAGTCTTATAAGATCTGTCTTGACTTATCAGATCAGAGACTTGGACATTGACTTTATGTGATGAGGAAACTGAAAATTTTTGAGCGAAAGATCTTATGTTGCATTTTTTGTGAGGTCCAAGTGAATGGATCGTGGTGAAGATCTAATTTAGAACTCTATAAAATTTACAAACAACCTGATATTCTAAAATTCATTGAATTACAGACTTAAATGTACTGATCATCTTGCTAGCATGAATGAAGATCGTTGCTGCAAGAAAGTCTTTCTGGCAAAGCCCATGGGAAATAGAACTTGGGGCAGACCCCCACTAACATGGATTGATTGTGTCGAAAAAGATCTTAATATTTTAAAGGTTAAAAACTGGAAAACAGTTCCAAAAGTAGAGATGCATGGAGAAGGCCCGGTCCCACCCAGTGTTGTCGAGCCATTGAAGAAGAAGAAGATTCAATAGACATATCTGAAATATTAAGTTTCTGTAAAATACTTAAATATGTTTTGCAAAATGAGAAAATTTGCTTTTTGTTTCAAGGAATTGAAACTAAGATTAATTATTTAAATTTAAAAGTTGTTTGTTTATAATCCTACATCTCTTTAATTAATTAAAATATTGCTGTAAATTTTGTATGATGTAACATGAAAAGTCTGAAGAAGTAATGAGGTTTGTCAGAAAAATAAAATTACAAGAGCAAGAATATGTAACATTAATGGGTAAATGACTATCTCATTCAAATTTGGCAACTAATTTTTGTTGCCAAATTTGGCAAGAACTGGAACTCGGTGACCATTTGATGACATTGGGGTCTGGTCAATGTAAACTGTAATTGATCCTTATATGTAACCCTATCTGGCCCTTATGTGTAACTTTAACCATACATGCCTTATAGTAATTTCAAGAAGTGGAAGGTATTTGAAATTTCTCAGCAGCTGCAAAAAAATTGTGTAAGACCGAAGAAAGCATCCATTCTCAGTTTTTCAGTTCAGAGTAGAGTTTTGAGAGATCTCCGTGTGAGTTTTGCTCTTTAAATGTGCTTTGCATTGCGCTGCATTTAATGTTCTTCATAGTCTGAAGTGGTAACAACTGATTGTGGTCTTTTATACTGCGAAGAGCTATGATTACATTTGTGGAAAGTTCAAGAATCATAAAATGTTTCTTTTAGAAAAATAAATTCTATCAAGCTACCATTAGTTCTGTGTGCATTCAATCCATTATGAACCTGTACACATGCAAAATTATGTATACAATACTGAATCCGAAATCTGGACTCATCAGTACTTCGGCGATTCCGGATTTGGGATTTTTCTGTATTATAGACTATCAATTTAAATCTGGTAAGATGCCATGCAGAAATTATACAATTAAAAATACGAAACTGTAATTTATGAAATAAAGAGGAATTATGATCTAAAGGGTATCAAATTTTACAAAAAAAAGCTTAATATTTATTTGTTTACTTTATTAAATACTTCCTTCAAATGTAAGTCATTTAATTTGCTTTGTTTTTTGTGCTAATAACTTTAATTCTATAAACAGACATAATGTCTTGTTCAGTTACAAAGTTCCACTGTTCAAGTCCTGTAATTGCTGTGTCAAGAATACCGAATAACTTGCCAATCTAAATTTTTTCATTTTCAATAACCTCTCTGTCACTATTGGTAGTGGTATTTTCTGGATCTAGAACCATACTATGGATTTCGCTGTCCGTTAATTGATTGATGATTGGGGCATTGTCATCGCAATGAAAAACTTCTGTAATATCATCTTCATTTATTACCGCTTCTCCACATTTCTTTACAAAATCCATTAACTGGAAAATTTCACCATTTTTTCACCACCGAAATTTCAGGTGCTAAAAGAATTAATTTAATTGTAAATGAAAATAAAATTAAATATTTACCTTGCTTAAAGTCTGACTTACAGCTTAGTCACTTAGAAATATGCAATTATAAATTTCAAAAAGTTAACAGTTTTACTTATTTGTAAACAGAAATAAATAATAAAAATGTGTTGGCCCCAGAAATGTGTAAAAGAATCATTGCTGCAAAAAGATGTTTTTATGCCCTGAAGAGTTATTTAAAATTCAGCTTTCTTAAATTCAGAACTAAATTGCTTCTTTACAAAAGTCTTGTAGTATCTGTCTTATGCATCAGAGACTTGGGCATTGACTTTATGTGATGAGGAAGCAATGGGAATTTTTAAGCAAAAGATCTTACATTGCATTTTTTGTGGGGTCTAAGTGAATGGATCATGGAAAAGACTAATTTAGAACTATAAAATTTATAAACAACCTGATATTGTAAAATTCGTCATGGGGACGACTTAAATGTCTGGCCATCTGGCTAAAATGAATGAAGATCATTGCTGTAAGAAAATCTTTCTGTCAAAGCCCATGGGAAATAGACCCTGGGGCAGATCCCCACTAAGATGGATTGATTGTATCAAAAAAGATCTTAATATTTTAAAGGTTAAAAACAGAAATCAGTTGCCAAAAGTAGAGATGCCTAGAGAAGACTTGTGAAGAAGGCCAGGGCTGTCAAACCATTGAAGAAGAAAAAGGCTAGGCCTTCGGCCTCATTGCGATCATCGCATATGCTACAAATTTACTAAAGGGAAGGAATGTTCTGTATCTGTTTTTACAGTGATTGCCATGAAATATGTATTAAAAAATCCTTTGTAAGTAGATTTATTCATTGATTTCTAAAATAAATATCTAATTAAATATTAAAATGCTCATGTGGGCATATAGGAAAGTGCCCCCCTCCCCCCATTTATAAGTCTGTATTCTTTTTCATCAGTTTCATCAGTTTGACTGATCAAACTGAGCCAAGATTGTTTTATGAATGCCTAAGTACTGCAGAATTATTGTCTAAAATCCTGATATTATTACTGATTCATCCTCATCTTATTCTGTGTTTTGTTTATCTAATTTCAAAAAAAAAAATTTAAAGTATTTAAAAATTTTAAAAATATAACAAGCAATAAGACCGACTGTTTTTCCCTTAAAATTTTGTTTTATGCAAATCAGAATCAATTCTACATGACATTAGAAACTGAGGTAGGGGAGTTAAATTTGACTTACTAAAAATTAAGTGGAACAAATGTGAGATTGAATTTAAAAAAAAAAAAAAAAATGTAATTTGGACTTTAAAGGGCTGGAGTTTGCTTTACTTTGCAGTAAGTATAGAATATTTTGCCATGCAAATATTACTATATGGAGCATGAAGATCAACAAGAAGGTACTGAAGATAACCTCCATGTTCATAATGTAAGGGTAAAAAATGTTAAATGTGCACATGCTTTAGCCTGTTGATTGCTAAGATAAAATATAGTTTTAGATTAACATGTTGTAAACAAACAGTTTACATATCAAGTTCAGGAAAGTGAAGAAAAAACCTCTATTAATGTTACTGCATAAATACTTTTGCTTAATTTTTGGGCAAAAAACCATTCTTGTATGGCAGAAAGTATCACTTTCTAATCAAAAAGTTTTAATCTAGATGGCCTCAAGCATCCCTGAACTAAAGGTAAATGCACAGTGTTTTTTCCAAAGAAAAATATGTTTGTTATTGGTAAGACCCATCTAACGCTAGAGAGCGCTGAGAGCACCATTGAGTGTGTGCTGAGACTCGATGGATGATGTGATTTCTGAGATTGAGATATTATTATATTTAATTAAATCAATTTATATTTTATTGATTGGTGATTATTGATTTGATTTATTTGATATGAGATGTGATGTTATGTTTTGCTGAACCACCACACTTTCGATAAACTTGGATTACCACTGAATCTTAAAACCACCGATGCGCAGTTATGTTACAGTACTTTAAATTCGAAAGCTTGGCTGGATTTCTTTAAGCAACTTGTTTCATATAGAAGTATTTATTCTGTGTGCTGAAAAATGTGCATTTCAACGTTACAATATATCCAATCACAAATTAAAATGTGCGTAAAAGTAATATCAGCAAATCAAATGTAGGTCTTTATATTACACAAAATCTGCAACCTAAGAAAAATTTATAGAGTATTCTAGAGACAACTATTTACCAAGGCAGACTGTAGTTTTTAATGACAGTATTTCTTGAAACTGTTGTACCATTTTTTAAATATAATCTTTCACAATTTGAATTATATGCGATTACAACTCAAAAAATATGCACATTGTAAATTATTTGTATGTATAATTTTACTGCTTTGTTTACTTTATTATTTAACATTCAACTGCTGTTTTAATTTAATGCTATCTCATAATTTGTGTCATACAGCATACCATAGCTATTATTCAGTTCTAAAATTAAAGAATGGTGCAAATGGCTAATTAAGTACAAGTTTAAAAAGATGATAAAAATGAAAGGAAAACATATTGAGTAGTAATGTATATTTAACGTTTTACTACTATTTTACTTAATATAAATGAAAAATAAAATTAATTTGTTTAACAACATAGATATTATTCATAAAGTGAAGAAGATAAAAAATAATTGAGTAATCTTTGATTTCATAAACGTATTTTTTGGCCAAAAATATCTACTTTCATTTATACAAATACTTAAATCTGTAGTAAATGTATATTAAGATACATGTAGAAGTATACCTTTCAAAAGTATCCTGTGTTTTTGATTTCTTCTTAACTGCTATATAAATTTTTGTATAAACTATTGCCCTTCCCTTCTCCATTTATCTTTTTTTGAATAACCTAAAATATAAATCCTTTATTAATGTTGTGCCTTTTTTTTTTTTTAAATTTATTTAGAGAGAGCAGTTAGAAGCTGTGCTTAGAAAAGAAGATAGTGTTTTATATGAACATTTAAGATTGATTAAGGCTTTTGAAATTATACCTGTAGATTTGTGGTTTGGAAGATATTTTGCTCAAGTTTTACATAAAAGCTCACTAGCAAGGTTATTATTCATTTCTTTTATTTATTGTTTTACTTAATTTGGCATATTACTTTGTGGATTTGCATTGCAATTTACAAATTTAATTATTTTAAAATTGCTATTTGTTCATGAAACTGTTTGCCTGTGTGCATTTTAATAAAGCCCGTAATGTATTAAATTATATCAGAAAACATTTAAGATAATTGAAAAAATTAGAAGTATTAATTATTTTATCTGATATTGATAAACAGTGAAATCAGTGTAAGACATTTATGGTGTAACTAACTTCTAGGTATTTTCTTATTAAAGTGACTACTGCATAAGCCTTTGAAATTTTCATGTTACAGGTTCAGAGATTAAATTTGCCAATTCTCACAGCTAAGCACAGTGGCAATTTTAACAAGGAAGTACCAGGCAGTAAAGAAATTAAAAAACTGTTATGTACAGTAGAATTACATTTGCACAAACCTCCAGTATATTTATGCATGATTCTAAGGATTGATTTCAGAAGCATTCCAAAGAATTAATTTCTCTTCTGATTTGCAAAAGGAATTTATTTTCACTGTTATTCTTAATATGACAAAAAATTAGATGGGTGAGGTTCTTCTCATTGATTGTACTTCAAGTATTCTAAATTGGTAAGAGAAGGGAAGAAGAATTTATGGTACAGTCAAAACTGACTATCTGCTGAGCAAGTATTCAGAGAGAAAAACAGAAGAGAGTTCTAACGAGGGTTAACGAGTTTTCTTTTATGTTAGGAAGAACCATAGAAAAAACTGGCTAGAAGAAATAAGTTTCACAATGTAGAAAAAATGGAAGAAACTTTTTGTAGCTTAAATTACTAATTAATTTAAATATTTTAATTATGTATATAATATAATTAGCTTTAATTTTGCACTTGCAATAACTTCTTTTTATTACATTAATGTAATTCAAAGAATAATTAAAAAGAAATAAGTTTAAAAGAGTTCATGAAGCAAACAACAAGGAAAAAGCTGCAATAATTTAGTAGGAGGAATACAAAATACCAAAAAATTTTTATCATCTTTCTTGATCAACTCATTATATAGTTCAGAAACGTAGCTTTCCTATCACATTATCTTGTGGTGGCATGGCCTCTTTGTGACATTAAAAATATGCAAGTGTGAGGGACCACATAAAGATAAGAAATTCACATGTGCAGTCACTTCACAGTCGTAGTCTTTGAGTTCTTACAAGATGTGAGACAGTATGCTCTGACATTGCAGGAGAATTTAACTCGTTCAGTAATGCTTCCACTTGACATCACAAGAGTCATAACTTTATGACTAATGTCGAGAGATTTTAGCGATCTACACTGTATTCTTCATCAAGGCCTTTTGAATTCAGTGGGCCGGAAAACCAGTGATAGCTTAGCTCCTCTGATACTATTTTTGAATGTAACAAATAAGGCAATGTAAAACACAATCAAAAAATTATAAGGGCATTAATAATGCAATAAGATAACAGAGTGCTCTAAGACTCTCAACTGGAGAGACATCTTATCAAAAGCAAGATTCTCACATAATGAGGACAATTACTTTACTTACAAATAGTTGGTTATTTTGCATTCAGTATTAATTATTTCCAATTGTCATTATTGTATTGTTAATACAGCTTCTTATGTATTTATAATAAACATATTTTTAGTTCTATAAACAGAAAATAATATGCAACCTAACGAAACACAAATTAGTGTGTTACCAATTCTTATATGGAAATCACCCTAAGAGTACCACCTGAACCATCAACCCAGGTTATTAGTCTGAAAACATGATTTTGCATAGTTTCACTTTTCATTTACGTCTGTTGCTATTCGAAAAAATGTAAGATATTTGGCTTCTCTAAACTGTCTACTAATGATGAGTAAACTAAGCTATTTAAAAGCAATAGATGCAGATGTTAAGATTTTTTTTTTTACTTTTGAATCCAGTTCTGTTAAATAAAAATGCATTTAATTCATGATATAGCTGTTGGCTTTAGTTTTTCCTTATGCAAATTTTGATCGGAGGTCAATCAGCGGTAAGCTAACATGATTGCCGATGACGTCAAGATCGGCAAGTTGGCCGAGTATTATATGTACGCCAGTATCGTCGAATGTGTTGTTATGAGTTAGCATAATGCTAGTTTTCTTCACTCAAATCATTTTAAATGTAAAGGCTACAGTGTTACTTATTTATTTAATTTACGAATAAGCATGAATTTTATTTAGATTATTAGATTAGATTAGTCTGCAGAGATTGGATAAACCATTGCAGTTGGTTTATTTAGACGTTTGTGGCTCACTCCCAGTTCCATCTAAGGGTGGGAATAAATATTTCCTCGCTATTGTGGATGACTACTGTAGATTAGTAACAGTTTATTGTATGAAAAATAAAAATGAATCGTTCTACAACTTAAAGAATTATCATAGGCAAATGGAAAGACTGATGAATAGAAAATTAATAAGTATACGCACCGATAACGGTGGGAAATTCTGTAACAGGCAATTCGAAGGGTACTTAGACGAAAATGGAATTAAGGTTGAATGCACAAACACATACGCCCCAGAAGAGAATGGTGTGTGTGAACGTTTTAACCGAATGGCATTAAGCGCAGTTAAAGCTATGCTGGATGATGGTAAAATGAGAAAAGAATGGTGGTCAGAAGCTCTTGGCTGTTTCGTACATTCGTGGAACAGAGTATGTCATAAAAGCAACTGAACCCCTTATGAAATGTTTCCTAAATAGAAAAACCCAGTGTTGTTTATTTTAAAATATTTGGTTGTAAAGCCTATGTTGGCATGCCAAAACAGATTAGAAATAAATTACAAATGAGGTGCAAAGAAGGAATCATGGTAGGATATGTGAAGGAAACTAGGGTTTATAGGATATGGGCTACCAGAAGAACGCAGATTAATAGAAACCTGTAATGTGAAGTTTCGATGAAAAACTGAATGCAGCAAATGGCATCCTGGAACAGAAATCAAAAACTAAGTTTAAAAGACTAGAGGAATCTGAGCTATTAGCAGAATCAGATGAAGAACAGGAAACTTCTAGAGAAGAAATAAAGTTGTCAGATGACAAATCTACCCCGAAAGAAGTATCAGACTTAAAACTGGCAAAGAAAAGCAGTTAAAAGGCCAGACGGAAACACATGTACAGACATATATTATTATGTAGAGGGAACAGAACACCCGTTTTAGATCCTATAATGATATTGAAAAGTATTGTGAGGCAAGAAAATATTAAATTGAAAAAGATAAGTTTGATTTTAGTGGAAAAAAACAAATACTCGGGGAAAGTTAATTTTAAGAAACAGGAGACTAGCTCCGTGTCTGAAGAGGCAAATTCCGTAGAAATTGTTATCCCACAAAATTTTAAAGAAGCACGAAAATCAGTAAATGCCGAAGAATGGGATAAAGGCAATGAAAGAAGAAATTGACACAATGAAGAAAAGAAAGGTTTGGGTTTGGGAATTAGTCGAAAAGCCAGAAAATAAAACTATGCTAGGAAACAAATGGGTCTATATGCTAAAAAGAAATGAAAAGAATCAAGTGGTTAGATACAAAGCACGTTTAGTAGCACAGGGATTCAGGCAGAAAAGAGGTGAAGATTTTGATGACGTTTACAGTCCTGTAGTAAATTTCTCAATCATAAGAATATTTTTCACTATACTGGTATGTTATATGGATGGACTAATTGTCAGTTAGATGTAAAGAACACATATTTATATGCAAACCTAAATGAAAAAATATATATGACCCAACCAGAGGGATTTATTGAAGAGGAAAATAAAGTGTGTTTATTACACAAGGCCATTTACGGTCTAAATCAAAGCAGCCGTGAATGGTTTTGTGAATTTGAAAGTACTTTAGAAAATCTACATTTTAAGAAAATACAATGGTGTAATTGTGTTTATCAGAGTTCAAATGTAATTCTCTTGTTATATGTAGATGATATTGTGATTTTTAGTAAAGATCAATATAATATAGATAAAGTAATTTCACAGCTGAGTAAGTTTTTTTATCTTAAAGTATTAGGCAAAACTAAAACGTTACTTGGAATTGAATTCTTAATTTTAGTTTTCTGAAATTTAATTTTATGAAAAGTAAGTTTGAACTTTCGATTATGTCAAAAAGAGTTTCCGATTCTGGAGCTGCCAAAGGATCTACAAAGCGAAAGCATGTTTTAATGTCCATCAAACAAAAGTGGATTGCTGCAAAATGATAAGGCATGAGAAGTGACAGAGAGGATAGTGAAAACGAAAAAATTTCGATTGACAAGTTAGTCGTTATTCTCAGCACAGCAATTACAGGACTTGAACAGCGAAACTCTGTAACTGAACAAGAAATTATGTCTGTTTATAGAATTAAAGAGAAAGTATTAGCACATAAAACGAAGCAACTTAAACAACTTGCATTGAAAGAAATGTTTAATACAGTAAACAAATAAATACTAAGCCTTTTTTTTTTTTTTTTTTTTTTTTTTTTGTGTGTGTGTGTGTAAATTTTGATACCCTTTAGATCATAATTGCTCTTTATTTCATAAATTACGGTTTCATATTTTTAATTTTATAAGTTCTGCATGACATCTTACGAAATTTAAATTGATGATCTATAATCCGGAAAATCCCCTAATCCAGAAACGTCGAAGTCCCGACGAGTTTGGATTAAAGACAGTACTGTATCATGTTCTATATTCCACATCAGTGTTTTCATTACTTATGTATGTGCCTAATATTAGGTGTTTGAAACTCATTTTTAACTCGTAAAAATAAGAAAAACAATTAACCCTTAACTTACCACTGTTGCATTTCTGCAACATATGATTTATTTTAATTTAATCAATATTTTTTTTAATTACCTACAAATCACTTATCTAAGAAAAAAAGGTTACTGCAACAAAATACATGCTAAATTTGTCACTAGATAGCAGCACATTTTCCCCAGAAATCGCAACAATTATAAAAATCTCTGATTCCTCAAGAACTGTGTTTTTGCTATAAAAAGAATCCATTATATTTTATGCTTCCTCTTGTTTATTGACGAAAAAAATTACCAGGTAAGAAGTTTAAACATTTTATGTTCATTTAAAAGAAATTTTGATTTTCTAATAGAAAAAGTTTGAAAGAAATTTGATTTTAATTATATGTTGCAGGTCTGCAACATTGGTCTTTGGTTACCATTTTGACATGGCCAAAAAGCGTATACTAACCCAAGATGAAATTGCTAGATATATGAATAATTTGGGCGAATTGAGTGATTTAAGTGAGGATAGTCTTGAATATTCTGCTGCTGATGATGTTCAATTTTTTACCTGATTGTGTGTTATCTAATGATGATTCGGATAGCGACTGTGAAATAGTGTTGTTTCACAAAATACAATTCAGAATATAAAAACATCCAATGATGATGATAATAAATTTGATAGAAATATTTCAGTTAGTGTGTGTGTGTGATTATGGCAAAGCCTCGAGAGCTATCTGCCTACGGGGAGGGATGCCTTCGTGGAGGATTTCCTAAGGGAAACTGGTTTGTATACAAGTTACACATGGGAAAAACCACGAAAACAAACTACCAGTGTTTCAGCGACTTTACCGCTCGACCGCTGGTGTATTTCAGTCAGAGAACCTTTTTTAAATTTAACTGTTAAGAATAATAAAACATTTTCAAAGAATATTTTATGGAAAAATCAAAACATTTCATTGATTGAAGAAGTAATAAAATTCCATGGAGATGACACGCTCCCAAGAGAAATTACGGATTTGGACACTACGTACCAATTTTTTAAATATTTATGGACGGAAGAGATCATAAGTAACATTTATGAAGACAGCAAACGATATGCTATTCAAAAGAATCCAAGTAAGCCTTTGACTATATCAGAGAATGAAATAAATCAATATTTGGGTATTTACATTTATGCATCTCTAGTTCACCTGCCAAACTATAGAGCATACTGGTCAGAAGAGCTTGGATTTGATCAAATTAAAGAAACAATGAAGAAATCTGAAAAAATAAAAATAATAATAAAAAAAATCTAATGAATTTACAAAAATTCAAATCTGAAGTTGCATCATGCTTATGCAAAATGGGGTACGATCGAAATGCTAAAAGAGGAAGACCTAGTAATACTTCAATAGAACAAATGTCTCAGACTAAAAGATGCAAAGGGACTGCCCAATCCGTTCCATGTAAGGACATTCGTAGAGATGGTATAAATCATTGGCCAATATGGTCAGAAAAGAATACGGTGCAAGTTTCCAAACTGCAAGAGCTACACTCAAACTGAGTGCGAAAAGTGTAAAGTAGGGACGTTTTACAACAAAGTCAATAACTGCTTTAAAAGTTTTCATTGTATGTAAGGCTAAAGCAATTTATAACAATGAATAATAAAATCCTCATATAAAAAAAAAGTTTTGTAATTTTACAGCACTACTGCGCAATGTTGCACTTCTGCAACAAACAAAAAAAAAAGACTGAAATTCAATTTAAAACTGCTTAGTTTTTTTTTTAAAATATTTTTTCCTTTTATTATTACTTAAGAAGTAGCTGATATAATTTTTTCATAGAAATTTAAAAAATTGGGAAGTTAAGGGTTAATCGACATGTTTGTTCAGAAAGAATAAGAAACAAAATTTAATTAATTAGATTTTGAAACTGAATCTAGATCATTATTTATACAGTGCAACATGTAATTTATTTTGTAGTTTTGAATAGATAAACACAAAAGAAGAGAAAATTTGCATTAACCTTGCTGAATGTGAAGAACAATGCAAGAGAATTTGAACTACATAGTTCACTTCGAATTTCAACATTTTCTTTTCCATTCAGTAACAGGATTGAGTGTATTGTTGACAGGATTAAATGGTTTTTATGTAATCCTTCATATTACTGGAGTAATTCAATTCTTCTGATAACAGGTTTAGGAATAGTTTATAAGCATATGTAGCATATTAAATAACAGTTTCATATGGGGGAAAATATATCTATTATTAACCATGTAGCTGGCCATTGTGAAAATATTTATCAAATATATCTTTGTGAATTTTGTGTAGATTGCTCTTGAGTATATGGATTTTATTCTTATAGAATTCTTCCAGTCAGTATTGAAACTCTTTTTATAAAATTTATCACCATTTTTTTGAAAAAGCTTTATATTTGGAAGTGCATAATAAAACTTGTTATTCTTGTTACTCTTTAAACGAACAATGATATTGGAGATTCCATTATACGAACATTGTAAATTTAAAGAATTTGATTTCTGTAATCAAATTTCCTTTATCCCTTGAATTTTATAATTTCTTTTAATTTGTACTTTTCGTTATTTTAGAATATGTGATAAAGTGATTGGTGGATCTTGCAAGATTTTATCGTATGTTGGAGCTGCAATATTAATGGTTCGTCGACACCCTTTATTAGCGCTAACTGGGCCAGAAGCGGCTATTGAATTGCTCAAAAAAGTGAGTCTAGCTGTAGAATTAGAGATATGAAATAAGTATTTAATGTATATTTGTAAATTATTTAGAATCTTACATTGATCCGTCACAGAAATATGAAATTTTACTTATAAAGTACAGTAGAATTTCTGTCAACCAAGGTCTCTGTTAACTGAACTGACAATCATTTTATCAAGAAATCACTGTGGAAATATTGTAACATTAGAAAAGGCACAGTCAAAATCAGTAACACCTGCGGCTGGGGACGAGCATTCTGGGGAGCTCTTTCATTCTCAAAACGTAGTGGTGTGCATTTGGCATTGTTTACTTTCTCATGCAACATAAAATAAAGAATTTGGACTATTAGTGTGCCAAACTGCAGAGAGTGAATGTACAACTTAACCTGAGGTAGAATGAATAGATTCATGAATATATATGGTGTGCTTATGTTGCATGATAGCACTTGTCTCAATATGTCACTAAAACCCTACTAATTATTCTATTAGCTGCCTTGTGAAGCCCTTCCTTACCCATCCCATTCATCAAACTTGTCTCCCAACAGATTACCACCTTTTTTCCCATATGGACAACTGTCTTCATGGTCAAAAGCAGAGCTGGATTCAGACTTTTTGCTGTCTGGTGCAATCTTGACATTTCCTAAATTCTAAAATTTCCCTACCTCCTAAAGGCTGTTGACAGGTGCAGCTGCTGTACTGGCTAATTCTTGAGGTCATAGCCATGACAGTTCTGAGCATGAGATTCATAGTTTGGCAAAAAGGCCTAGATGCCAAAGATTACTATTTTGACTAAAATAATTCCTCTTTTTTGTTAAGTTTTTGCACATATAAAGATGTTGGTCTTTTCGAATGCACCAACCTAATATTTATAAATCATTTAAGTTATGATAAAGGAATAGTCACCCTAAAGAACTGTGGGATGCATAAAATGGGTACATGAAAATGTGATAATTATTCATCGGTTAGCTCTTAGGCATTAATTATAGCTAATGTAATAATTATACTATATAACTTTGAGATTCATTATATTTGACAGATTCCAGAAGATACATCTGATGTTGTAGTTAATAAAGCTCTAGACTTATACTACAGCTGAAGCCAAAATTAATCAGTAAGAACCATGCATTTCTTTCATTTTATTTTTTACATTTATGTTGAGTATTGTGCTACCATGTTTACTAAATTACTATAGCAATTTCTTGTACCCAAGTTTACTTTTGGCACAATTGTTTCTTTTGCAGTACATAGTTCTTTAGTGTAAAAATAACTGCAAGAATAACTAATTATTCTACTGTATTAACACTTATCTACATTCGAGCAACTTGATCCAGTAGCTTATAAAGTTCTAATAAGAGATTGCTAAGGATGTAATTTGTTTTTTGAGATAGTATATAATTAAGTTTAACCCTCTCACTGCACATCCTGCTATTTCCATGGGCAACGTAAAAATACCAAAATTTGCACAACCCGCGGTTTCCACGCAGATGAATTTCTGCCATCTATTTAACTGTGCAACCCATTCAAGGTTTCCTTTCAGCTTTTCTGTGATGTTTAATTGTTTATTTAGATGTGGGCTAACAAATGACGTTAGTTGTCCACATTTTTGCAAATATACAAGAATACGTAATGTAGCATTTTGCACACGCATTTCAGAGCTCAAAGATGTCTGGCAGGAAGTGTTTCACGAGTGATGTAACCTATATTCCTGACAATATTTCTGACACTGATAGTAGTTCTGACTCTGATTTCAAGTATATTGAAGATAGTTATGGCGAAACTGATGAGAATGTCTCAGATTCCTCCGCAGATTGTTAGGAATCTGAAAATTCATTTTCTATTGAAAACGTTTTGACAGTGGTGCAAAATATTACATTATGCAGATATTTTTATTAGTATATATATGTTTTACTTTGTATTTTATAAAATAAATCATAATTTAACCAATATTAAATTTCAAAATTTTCCTTTTATATCATTATTCTGACAACCTTTTTCTATGATCTAATTCTATATTGAAAAAAAAAACTCTTTTACAAAAATTTTTTGCATATTTTAACTCTAAAATGTATGTAGATTTGAAATATGTAATAAAAAAAATACACAATTTTTTAAACCTATTTTGATAAAAAAGAAGTGCGCAGTGAGAGGATTAAGCATCCATAAAGCATGCAAATTGCCTCATAGAATAAAGCAATGAATATCTTAGGTTTCATATACATACTTGCCAACACAGGAGATCTCCTGATTTTATCAGGAGATCTTTATCAAAGATTTTTTAAATGATAAACATATATTTTTTAATAATGAATTTACTTTAAATAGTTACTAATTAATATCTGAAAGTTCAGTTTCTAATTCTTAAATGCACACAGTACAAAAATACTTTCATGGGGGGTGGGGGACTTTTTTATTTGAATCTTTTAACAAAAAAATAATACTTTAATCAGTTTTCGTACAAATGCTATGAACAGTGGCAGATTTTGCTTTCATTGAGAAAGAAATAAAGAAATTTCATAATTTTGTTAATAGCTGTTGCAATGTAGGCTTGCTTAAGCTAATAAAAGTTTTTCTAATGTGTCTTTATTAATATTTAATATAAATTTAGTCATCGATTTTGCAACAACTTGCACTCTGCATTACTATGGAGCATTGGCAGGATGATCAGCTTTATTCTAGACATTTCAGTATACTTTAAAATTTTATCAGCACCTTTCAGTTTTCCAATTAAACACCACTGGGCGTCAATCCTAGCTGGTTTTATAACTTTATTCAAGTTTTTAATTGTAAACTGCAAAATTGTGATTGTAGTATACCACTTGCAACATCAATATCATTTTCATGACTAAATGAAGTAAAACTGTAAATCTATTTAAAAAAGTATCTTGTTGTATCAGGGAAAAAAAAAATGTATTTGTTAGAGCAAAAAATTGTATTTGAAGAGCTTTAGCATATAAAGTCCCTTCATTGTTGATTGGAAATTTATGTAGTTGTATGTGGATTGGAAATTTAATCACATACTCGGCAGAAATAGCTTTGAACGTGATCTGAAAGTTCTTCCACTACTCTGTTAGTTGCAGTCCCTATTACCAAATCTTCATTCTTCTTCTGTTTTTTCTATTTCACCATAAATTACATATATAGAATTAGAAGACAAAACAAAGACTGGTTTTACAAACTTTGCGAAAATACCTTTAAACAGATTATAAATCATTGATTGCAAAACAGGATTTTATAAGATCTAACCTTTTTTGCTATCATACAAAGTGTTTAGATCTCAGAGTGTGACTCTTGCATAGGCGTGAAAACAATTACAGCAGGGTAAAGGTGTAAATAGCCCTTTTATTTATTACACAGAATCATGCTTAATCCATTCTGGAATTTATTCGAGGAAATAAAATTTACTTTGTAATTTTTAACAAAAAGGCACTGTTTATCTTTAACAAAGAGGCACTGTTTCCGTGCTCACAAAAACACCGATTACTTGCAATGAGAACTATAAATTGGAAAGAAGTAGTACTAGACTTCACAATTTAATCTATCTTAACAGGCTGACTCAGCAGTTTATACCCGCAACAGAACAAATAAATGGCCAGACTGTGTAGCCACTGATAAGTTAACAGCTGGAGGCCAAAATAGCAAACATGCACTATACTAGTGAAATCTGTCTAAACATTTGAATACGCTCTTTCTCCCACTTAAAATTTGCATTCTGGCGAGGAAATGTGAGGTGAAGCAGAAAATTCAGAAAAGATACCAAAATTATAATAACTGGTTAGTGAACTGAGGGAAACCCTACAAATTAATGGAATTCCTCTGTTTAAAACTGTATCAAGAATACTGAATGATGACAAAATGAATTGTACCAAAAAAAAATTTTTTTTAAGGTCCTAAGACAAAAACATAAATATTCATTGTTCATAATATAAATTTACAGTAATCGGAAAATGTTTCACTTGTTGAGCAATTTAAAAAAAAAATTTTTGACAGAAATTTGTATCAGCTTTACGCTTATATTTAGCTAACATTCGCATTTTTCAGTAACCTTTAACATGTTATATGTTTTTTAATTTATGAAAAGCTGCTATAATTTTTTAAATGCTGTTTCAAACTGTTACATTTTTTTAATATCACTTCAAAAATTGATTTTGCTGATACACATTTAAAATTAGTTATAATTTTTTATCCTATAGTGTAACATCTTAATTTAACAAAAAAGTTGCCTTCAGTGATATGTCCTTTCATATTGGTAAGTGTCCAGATTTTATAATTGGAAAACTGGTATTTTTTTCATAATAAATTAATTTCTTGTCATAAAATTCTTCAGTTTGCTTAACTAGTTACATTTTTAAATTAGCATTTTTTATTTGTTTGTTAAATTTAAATAAAATATATTGTTTTAAACATATGTATTTCAAGTTTAGTTATATATTTGAAAATTATACTGTATAACTTTTTTCTTTTTTCAGAAATATTCTGCCAAATCAAAAGATCTCAGAATTTTCAGTTTTCTGTAATCATTGTTACTTTTAAGTTCATACATTCATCAACGGCTGCGAAAAACTTTCCTTACTTCATATTTATTCCTTATGTAACATTCATTCTTGGAACATTTTGTTCTTTTCTTGCATGAAATAGTGATTGCATTTAGGAAGGGCAGACTGCGATCATCTTCAAACCTGTGATATTTTTGTCTGTGGAATGAAATGTGTATAAAGAAAAATCTGCTACAAATTAATTTTATTTTTTAGTGTTTTTATTAATAAATGCTTTTTTACAAATTTTACATGAATAAATGAAGGGAATTTTTTGTTAGAAACTTTAGTATTTTTAGTCCAAAGGGGCTTTGTCCCTGAAAGACTATTGTTTTGCATTGCAAACTTTAAGAGGCTCTATCACTTTTCAAATTATTGCCACCAAATACTATCGCCCTGTATTATATTTAAAGAAATTAAATAATGATGAATCTGAATAAATGTACATATGTTTCTCGCGTTGTGATAAAACAATGGTACCTAGAGCCATCCAGTTTCGAATGATGTAATCCTACTGCAAATATGAGCATCTGAAAGCCCAAATGTGAAATCTGGAATTTGTTTTATTATCAATTTCATATTTTGTAAAACTTTAACAAATTTTTGATTAACAAACTCAATGATTTAAAAGCAAGCAATGGCAACACTCTACGGGGGGGGGGGACTGTTTATCTCCAGTGCGCAGAACTGCGTTTCGGAAATTCTAAAGATATGCTCATTTTAAAATTATTTTGCGACATTGCTCTTGAGCTGAATTTTATAGTTTAAGTGCAAAGAACATATTTAATAAAGGAAACACACAAAACATTAAAAAAACCCCTTTGGACGTAATTTAAAATCTGAAACACCTCAGATTTTTTTCTTTTGCTTATAAAAATACTGCCCTTCCTATATGTTTCAAGAGTATTAAAGGTTAGGCCTGGAGAAACTGCATCCTTTTAGAACACTAGCTACAACATATTGCCCTATTATTTTTCCCCCAATTGATTTTATTTCATATGATGATGCCACATTCAAAATACGAGTATACCAATTTAACAATTTTTGGTATCATTATTGCTTTTGAATTATATAACAGTATCTAAAAAAATTACAATATATAGAATGCTAATTGTAATTTTAATGTAATTTTCATTACAGAAACTAGAGATGTAGCTATGCAATAAGCAAAAAATTGTTAAAGAAGCTAGAGGTGATTGTGGTCCAGACTTTTTTTTACTTATATACAAATTTTGAAATCTTGAATTCCGAGATCTGAAAAACTGCATATAAACATAATCATCATTATGTGTTATGTTCAAAATCGTAAGTACGGTGTCATCGTATATGGACAAATAATCTTCATGGACAGTAATCTTGAAGACTGACGTTCATGATTAATTTTTATTAGTGCACAAAGGTTGAAAATTTTTAGAAATTCTGGAAGAGTTAATACATTAAAAAAGGAGTTTAAGTATATTTTGAAAGAGTCGTATGTAGAATAAGTCTTCAAAATAAGAAGAGAATGCCATCAAATTTAATGGCATTAATTATGTTCTGCTTTGTGAATAAATTACTTTGCCAAATGTCATTTCAGAAGGTGAAACATTTCTGTTACACCAAAAGATCAGAAACTAGCAAACAGACAGTCACTTAACTTATGCAAATTAACCTAAAAACCTACATTGTTTACAATATCAGTTTTTTTTTTTTTTTTTTTTCCATTTCTTTTGGGCCATCCACTGTTGAAAGTGCAATTAATTGTACAAGACTCATATTATGATAGAATATAGGATTATCTTACAAAAATAAATGTGAAATTTTTGGACCAGAAAATCCTACTCAGGGCCTTATTGTTAAAGATTTTAGGAATAATTTAATAAATATCTGAACAGTTTAAATTCTTTACATTCCATGAACCACTCTCTTATTAATAGCAGTTCATCGTAAATACCTGTTAATATCACACTTCATGTTCTAATCTTGTTACTCAAAGGGTAAAGCTATTATCTACACCAGGGTGTCTTAAACTGTGGGTCACCAAAAATTTTAGCAGTTTTGATATTTCTTTAACTTATTATAATAATTTTACAATTACCATATATTTTTACACAATGTAGCTGAAAATAGATAAAGATAAGACTATGCAGACAAAAAAAAAAAAAAAAAAAAAAAAAAAGAGACTGTTTTGACGCATTCTTTTTATACTATAAATGTTTATTTTCCTTGCATTGCACGTGACCCTGTCATTTTGTCTGTTACTTATTTAAAATTTTCACATTGTTCTATGTCTTAAAATTAGAAATTAAAGTTAATGACCTAAAACTGCAATAGTATATTACAGAACAAGTGAAAAAATTGAAAATTTTACTTACATGTATGTTGGATTTGCACAATACTTATGGGGTCCCACAAAATTTTTGTAAATATTATGAGGTCCTGGGGGTTGCGACTGAAAAAAGTTTAAGAAACTCTGATTTACACCAAAATGACCGACTGTATGAACTTTCAATTGTTAGTAAAGAAAATAATGAGCACTGCACTTCCCATCACTTAACTTCACCCCTTTAATAAATTAAAAAGCATTATACTTGTTGCTCTGGTAAAGAAAATTGTTTGAAAATTTCCATGTGTGTATTTATTTGTATCATATGTATTATTTGAAATGGGCTGACAGTCACGGTATGCTTTGATTTAAATTTTGCAACAATTTGTTGGATATGTTCAATGGTCATCTTCGCAAAAATACCAGTTTTCATCATAAACTATGAGAACTTTTACACTAAAAAAAGCGTTGGAAAGAGAATGGTATTTATCATTAAATGTATCACCACTATATTATCTGTTTTATTATGCTATCATGAGAAAAGATTTCTGATATTAGTCAACAGCAGAACAAAATCAAATCTAATAACAAGCTCTTAATGGGAACCACTTAAGCTTTTGGTCATGACTGCATTTATAGCCTGCCATTGTTAGGCTGTTATTTGTGATGTAGTAACAAATTCCTTTTGGTCTCAAGGGGTAATTGCAATAGCTGAAACGAGAGTTAGCCATAAATGGCTAAGTAATACTGATGGGTGCCAGAGCAGCATGATAATGCCATTTTGTTAAATTTTTACAGAGTTTAGCTTTTTGGTGTATAAATTTCATAACCACTTTGTATTTCTGGAGTTTGCTTTTTACATGCATTAATCAATTTTGCTGTGTTATGTTTGTAATAGATCTGACAAAGAGAGGTAAACTAATTTTTGAAATGTTGCTATGTTATTGGGAGTAAGCACGTACAGATCATAACACTTCTCAAGCTCAAAACTATGAATATTAGCTTAACATTAAAATAGTCCAAATGGTATATATCCTGCGATTAACCTGTTCACATTAGCTAAGTACACATGCAGAATAAAAAATAATCAAAATACTCTATGAGTAAATAACCATGTGCATTATATATACTTTACACTATTAGATTATGCAAAATCTACGAGCTTTAGAATCCATTTTATATATAAATACAAAATGAATAAGGAATCATATCGAAATATCACACTGCTGTACCCACCTGTAGCTGAAGCTGAAAAAAAGTAGTTTTCCCAAGTTCTATTCCTCGCAGTGAACAACAGGTATTACATTCATGCCCTCCAAGAGCTTTGAAAAGTCATCAGGAATAAAAGACTAAAGCAGAACATAATTCACATTCATCATTATTATGCATGCCCTTAAGCATCTTTGGCCCCCAGTAAGTTACGTAATCAGCAAACTAGTGTCTGGATAGTGAACTTTAATCTATTATTTAGACTACATTTTGTACTTTTAGACTTCTAGCCCAGATTGTTTAGTGGTTAGGGGAGCCGACTGTGATACTGAAGGGCCCAGGTTCGAATCCCAAAGAAGGCACAGATGTAAATTGTCTGCCCCCTCATAGGAGGTAATGGTGGCCGCCTGTTAGGTGCGTCCACAATAAAATGACCACCTTAGGAATGTACAATGCCGAAAAAAGGCAAGTGCATGCCATTCGATTAAAAAACAAAACTTTTAGACTTCTACTTCAGTCCAGTGAAGGACAATCCATGGCAACAATATGTTGACATAAATGAATTGAAAATAAGTAAAACAATGTGCAGCTAATTTTTTCCAAAGGGGATTCAAATGTTGGCTTCAGCAATGGGATAAATTGTATGTAATGAAAATTAAGTTGAATAATACCATCATTCTAACAATGGGGTTTGTACAATCTGTGTCAGTTAATGAAATAGTAAAAATGACTTTTGCATTACTTTTGGTAATAGCAATGTATAAAGTAAATACAGGCTAATTGCCTTAAAAATATCCATGAGAACATCCCTTTGTTTAAGTATTAGTCCTTGTATATGTTGTCATAATTAAATAATTCAATTAAATCCATCTCTGAAATTCAAATGGAATAATTTTTAAAAGTTTTTACCTCATGTAGTAACAAGCATTACTCAGCAGCAGAACTCTATATAAACCCATAGAATCCAAAAAACTACAAAATTATCATGAACAGATTAGCCAAGAAATAAATATAAAAAAAAATTATAAAAGAATTTTGTATCTATAATTAATGCCACAATTCCCATCCACATTGCCCATTAATGCCCTGTCCACGTAGCAATGATATTTACCATATACTGTTTTGGTAATATTAAATATCTGACAGTCCCTTAGCTATCTTTACCTAGAATTTTAGAAAACTCAATGAAAAACTCCAAAAGGTCAAAATAAAACTCTGATGATTCTCTGTATTTTCTTCAATACACAATCTTTTAGGTTTTGTATTTCTATTTAAATTTGCAAGGATATTTCTAAAATAATTCTCAAAAAGGTATTGAAATGGTAAAGGAAAATAATTAAGAATTTAAAGTTGTTATAATTTGCACAGGTAGTATGCTAGAGAACTATGTTCAAAAGCTACAATTTGTAGTGTTTATTGCTGACATTTTTTGTTCTCAATCCCTTTTTATAACTTGTACTATTTGACTGCTCATCTTTGCTTTTTGTATCTTTTATTTTTTTGTAATATTTACTTACATATATCTTATCTGTAAACTTGTATTGCTTATTTTCTGCTGCTGATGCATTGCTTGCATATGTGCCACAATCTATTAACAACCCTGTTAAAATCATTATCCTGTATTTTTGGAACAAAGCCAGTGGATTTCTTTGCTCTAGTGTTAACCTCTCTTTCAGCCTTTGTTAGTCTGGGACGGAGCTTCGGTCCAGGAACCCCTGTCTCATGACCTGCGGCCACCT